ATTCATAAACTACTCACTTACCAATGTATACTAAGTGATCATTTTTATATATTTTAGTCAAGTAGCACGTCAGCATTTAACTGAAACATATGCAAATCAGTGGATAGGTGTTATATGTGAGAAATGGATAAATGCTTCGAGGAAAGTGGATTTAACAGTACAAATGAAGTTGACTAGTCTTCTTCATCTCCTGAAGACGCCAACTTGGTTGGTGAAACGCGCTTCGAAAAAATTGTTGCAGTTCTGGTATTTGGGAACAGTGCTTGTTTCTAATCCACCTCGGAAAGAGTGGAGTATTTGAAATAATTTGTGAAAAGTGGCATGATTCAAGTTTCTCTGAAAAAAGGGTGGCAATGCTCTCTACATCCTACTATCATATTTTTTTGTAGCACGAACACTTCAAGAGAATGGAAAGTAGTTGAAAATTAGATCTCAAATACAACGCATTCATGATTCAACACCAGAGAGTGCCGATTCGCCCCGTCATAGGTCTCATAAGTGATGCAAGGCTTGACCACAAATGCTTTGCTGAACTCAATTGCCCTTAGAGAACAAGCCTGAGTAAGTATGAGCGATGACATCTCCACTAACGAAGACGTCATGTATGGAATCTACAAAGAACTCAATCGTTGAATATCGAAGATAAACGAGGCTCCCCAAGGCGGTCAGTTGCAAAGACGAGTTTCGACTTTGATAGAAAAATGATGGTAGAAACTTTGTAACTAGAGTATCTATATGAAAGTTCCAGTTCAATATATTGCCCGATACGAAATCTTTTGATGGACTTTCCTGAGCTATAATTTTCATTGGACGATATGAAGGTAGACTGATTCTTTTCATTATCGAGTTTCGGTCGGTAGCCAAGCGGTTCGGCGTGGGTGATTTGTTCACTCACTCGAATTGACNCACCGGCCGTATCCACTGTAAAATTGTACAAAGAATTGAACCAATATTTATCAGAATGTTGGTGAGTGAATGTTGATTCGTCGGCAGAGAGAACCCTTCACTGGCCATATCCACTGTTATGTTGGGCAAAGAATCAATCCAAGCTCGACTTGAGTCGGGCTTTCGAAACCACTGATCATAAACTATTGTTTGATCAACTGGAAAGAGTAGAAGTAAAAGGAATAGCTGAAAATTGAGTAATTCCATATCTTGAAGGAAGAAGTTGTAGTTCTCAACAATAACAGATTTGATATTCAGATCGTATATAAGCGAATGTCACAAGGATCACTTCTTCCACTTTTATTTATAGTATTTCCAAACGATCTCACTTGGACAAAAACAAATTCTGATATGCAGATGATACTACCGTCTGTATAAAAGACGCAAGACGCAGGATTTTATAGGGTGTGCTAACAAAAAGGCCCAGCTACTTCATGATTACTGTTCAAATCATGGTTCATCCCTCAACTTATCACTTTCTCATAGAATCTCACTTACGAAATAAATGTATGTACCTATCACATTTTTTTAAATGGAAAATTATTTTTTTCATTGGATGCAGAATTTTTCCCATAAATCGTACAATATCAAACCAAATAAAATTAAATAAATATTACTAATTTTTTTTTTCATGTTATGGTGTATATTCATGAATTCAGGGCTTAAGTTCTAGATATTCAAATTTGTCAACTGACAAACTACAAAACTAAAAAAGGAAGAGTTTAATGAAGGTTGATGATGAAACTTTTGTAAAATATGTTCGACATGTCTTCCATTTTCTTGAATGCAGAGCTGAAGTCTATGTTTGAAAGACTGTTCTATCCTGCGCAAGACAGCTGGTGTAATGCTGCCAAAAGCATTCGTTAT